GATGATTCCTATGGGGAAACTGAAGAATACTCTAAAACTAGAGGCACCATGGCTACTTACATGATGAAAAAATGTGGTGCGGATGTAGTCTAGGTGCCCGAGCAATGTGAAGAGACAGCGCCGAAGTTTGTAATTCCAAACCTGCAAAGAGGGAAATACAGCTAAGGAATAGGACCTAAGGGTTCTGAGCCTCTAAAAGGCTCAGGTTTCTCAACAAACAAGTTGGATTTATATATGGGCATTTCTAAATAGGTAGAAACCTTGATAGGGAGTCTTGTTTAAGGTTAAAAAGACCAAGAACGAAAACATAGGTCATCTGTATAACACACGGGGCGGAAAAAAGACAAAGCTAGGGAAAACCTAAAGCTAAAACTATGGAAAAGGTTTTTCCTTTCTTTGGGGAGAAACCATCTCTGTTTAATGAGATAAGATGCTTATCCAGGCTTAACTTGAAACTTCTTTATGCTGCATGATTGTGTTCTCAGCTTAAATACAGACCCCTTAGTGCTTTACTTATCTTAGAGCAGGATAAAAAAAGTAGGACAGATATCATGACTTCAAAGTAAACAATGTAACATATGACATCATCTTCTCTTAGGCTCTTAAGTTAGTGCAAATGATGCCAATATGTTCATGATCTATAGTCATCTACCCATCTACCATGTAAACAGGCTTTAACTCATTACTGTGGGAAATACTACTGCTCAGTCAGGCTGAACAAAGCAGAGAAACATCCTATTCAGATATGAAGTTGAGTCAACCACCAAAGTACATCAATGGACACAACTGAAGAACACACTGAAATCAGGACCACCAATGCAAGTGCTCCTGCTTTCCCATCCAAAAGTCCCCAAAAATGAAAGGTCAGGGATGCCTTTTTTTAACTTTTAATACTTGTTTATAATCTCTCCAGGCCAGCTTGTTACTAACCTTTCCTTTGTTTTACTTAAAAAATGTTTAATTTTCTTTTGTAAATTACAAAAAGTAATACCATTTCCTGTAACAAATTAAAATAACCCAAAAGTATGACTGCCCAAACAGGAATATAAGCTCCCTAAAGACAGGGTCCTTGTCCATCATGCTCAATACTATAACCCTAGCTCATAATACAGTGGCGAACACTTAGCAGGTACTCAACAGGTATGTGTAGAAATGAGAAAAGGTAAATAACACAGGAAGTGAAAAAGTGTCCCGATACCTTCACCTTCATCTGTTGGATCAACTGTAAACAAACATACATGTATACAGCAGAGCTGGAGTTTCATACAAAAACTAGGTCACACCATAAATACTATTTTGTAATTAGCCTTTTGTCCCCTTATTGAGTTCAGTGTTTTAAACTGTCATATTGTTTCAAATTGTCTTGGCTCCTGTATAGTCCTCTTTCAAACTCCAGAACTCTGAATCCTTAAAGATCAATAGGGTTTGTAGACTGACCACCTGCTGGGCTTCCTATCTGACTCTTTGTAAATCTGGATATAGCAAACAATATGATGAACCATAGACATGACTTTTCTAGATAATCTCCCTTTCATCAGAGAACTATAAATTAAAACCACAGCATGGTAGCACTACATACCTACCAGCTAGCTAAGGCAATTCCTTTAATTACACAGCTTTTTTGACATATAAGTCAAATCCCGTGCAATTCACCCCTTTAAAGCATAGAATTCAATGGTTTTTAGTACATTCATAATTATGCAAACATCACCACAATCAATTTTAGAACAATTTATCACCCCAAAAGAAAACTATACCCATTAGCAGTCACTCCCCGTTTCTTCACAACCCTAGATGACCACTGGTCTACTTTCTGCTTTACAAATTTTCCTACTTGGACATTTCACATAAGTGGAAGATAATTCCTTTTTAAAAATATTAATCGTTTGGGAAAAATTTTCTGTGGAAGTAAACAGGGCAAATTTCGATTTTTTTCTAATACAGGTTCAAGTCTCTGGCTCCAGCTTTTGCCTTTACAATAGTCAAGCTTCTTCAAAGAATTGCCTATATTCTGCCTCTGCTTCCTCACGTCACATTAAAATGCTAAGATCACTTATGCCCTGCTAAATAAGCAATACAAAGGTTACTAGGTCTTTATATTATTCTGACCACTTTCTCCTTCCCCAAATTGTCTCATTCATTGGTGTCTAAGAGGCTTCTGCTTCTCCCTCTTGGTTCATCTCTAACCTCTCAAGTCATTCTTTCCTATACTAATTTTACTTTCTCTGCCTTTTAAACAACAGTTTATTTTCTCATTCAACATAATTCCTGAATGATATATTCTAACTGCTTCTGCTTTGGCTCCCTCCTTCATGATGACAACTCCCAAATACATCTCCAATGCAGACATATCTCCATCAGCGCTAAGATGGTAATTATTACCCATCTGCTATAAAATGAATGTTCTTCCCAAAATTCTTATGTTGAAATCCTAATGCCCAAGGTGATGGCATTCGTCCCCTGCCACCATGCGAGTACATAAGCAAGAAGTCAGAAGTCTGCAACCTGGAAGAGGACCTTCCCCAGGCCCCAACCATGCTGGCACCCTGATCTCGGACCTGTAGCCTCCAGAACTGTGAGAAATAAATTTCTGTTGTTTATCAGCCACCCAGTCTATGGTATTTTGTTACAGTAGCCCAAATAGACTGAGACACCATTTTCTTCCACTCCAGAAAACTGTACCTCCTCTTGTTTTTCCTTTCCTAGTAAATGGTACCCCTTCCACCTAGTGACCTAAGCTAGAAGTCTGAGATAAATAAAGTAATCTCATTTATTTTCCTTTACCATCCCTCCAACATCCATGCAACAAACTTACCGATTCATTTCCTTAAGCGCTCACATCCATCTTTCTCTCCATTTCAAATGCTACTGCCTAAGCTCAGGCTCTGTTAATCTCTCACATGGACTTATACAACAGTCTCCTAACTGCTATCTCTGCCTCCAGTCTTGCCCAATTCATCCAATCTTTTCTTTATATTACCACGCAAGTAATCGTATAAAAAAATATGTCAATCTGATATCAACCCTCTATTTAAAACCCTTTAATGGTTCCTTGTTACCTGTATAACATCCAAACTCCTGGACACTGCAAACTCCATGATCTGGCCCATTCTCTCATCTTACACAAAACTAATTATAGTGTCATATCCAGCTATGTCATGCCTTTTTGTCTCTGTACCTGGAATGCCCTTCCCTATTTCACTTTGGTTGTCTCTCTACTGTATCACTCACTAAACTGTATACCTATTATCTGGGTATACATTTATCTCTTCTATTAGAATGAAAGCTCCTGAGAACACAAACCATTTCTTACTTATTTTTGAATTCCCAAAAAATAAAAGTGTCTGGTATACACATTCAATAAATGTTGCTGGATAAGTGCTCTGGATAACATTGTCAAAAGCCTGAGCTCTGTATGAGTAAGAGGTACTGCTTTTTAGTCCCTTCCACAATTCCTAAACTCCATTTCCTGTTCTTTACTCCTAGTAATGACAGAGTCACTGTACCTTAATCTTATAGTCATCTCCTCCAGAGACAAACAGTGGCTGCTGCTTATGGAAGTCAATGCCTCGTACTGGACCTGGGGAAGAAGGTAGGCAATATATGTTAAAGAGAGCTGGGTTTCCTAATCTCTAAGGTGGTTCTTACTCAGGATTCTTCAGTTCTATCCCCTCCACATTCTTTAATCCTAAAAGAATTAATGTCAAACAAGACTTAAAGTATTCTAGAGGACAATAAATACTTATATCTTTTTTAACTTCTTCCTAGAAACTATTATCTTACCATCATGTTCATCAAACTTGTCAATGAGGGTACACATCCGATAGTCCCATAACTGGATGACTCCATTGTGTAAACTGGTCAGGATCCAGGGTCTTTTGGGGTGAAAACTGAGTCCTGGAAAAAAAACAGAGAATGATCCAATAAATTAAGTAAGCCCCATAATGTCACCTCCTGTCAATTCTAATAAGAAAAAGAACAGCTCGGGGCCAGCAAAGTGGCTCGTTGGTTAAGAGCTGGCTTGGGATACCAGCTCTGAGCAGCATAGCCCCGGTTCAAATCCCACATGAGGGCCAGTGACGCTGCGGCCTCTATAGCTAAGATGGTGAACAACAGCTCAACCTGGAGCTGAGCTGCTGTGAGTCGCCAGTGAGGCGTAGGCTGCAGTGGAGCTAGCCGGCAGCAGGCGCGAGCTTTCCCGAGCTGCCATGAACTGCCGTGAGCTGCCGTGAGCCGCCGTGAGCGGCCGTCCAGTGGCCCGTGAGCAAACGCCTCAGCTGGGAAGAGTGCAATGATAAAACCAACATGGGCCAGTGAAGTGACATCCTCCACAACTAGATTGAAGAACAAAAAGGACAGCAACTTGTCTGTCCCCTTTCCCCCGATTTCCCAACACTGTTCCCTCCCCCAATTCCCCAATAAAATCTTAAAAAAAAAGAAGAGCTAGGTTAATCCTAGGTTCATTCATTCATTCATTCATTCACTGGATGCTAGACATTGTAAGTTTATGTTATAAGGTGCTGGACCTTTGTTATATTCCTTTAAATTGTTAGAATTTGTTTTTAGAATGCAGTTAAATTACTTGGAAGTCTCGAAAGGATCAAGACTTGCCTTTAAGTTATGTTAGGGTGGGTCCACAGCAGCCATTAGTGTAGGTCTAATTTGGCACCCCTATTAAGGCAGTACCCTTTTGAGGTCTCTGTATGATGCTCTATAGCAGTGGTTCTCAACCTGTGGGTCGCGACCCCTTTGGGGGTCGAATGACCCTTTCACAGGGGTCGCTGGGTACTCGTATGTGGGCGTATCTGCATGTGGGCCTGGAGACGGATAGAGAAGCGGTGTCTCGGTTCCTAAGACCATCGAAAATATGTGTTTTCCAATGATCTTAGGCGACCCCTGTGAAAGGTTGAGAACCGCTGCTCTATAGTGTTAGGAGGTCTTTCCATCCTGGCTAGCAAGAACAGGTTTTGAGCTACTGAGTCTATGCCAGGCACTGTAACAAGCACTTTTCATATACTTTTGCATTTTAACTCCCTTTATTAGAAAATGTTATTCACATTTTACAGATGAGGAAACAGATTTAGAAATGTTAAGTAAGCCACACACCTAGCTAATGGATATTTCAGCATTTCAAAGCAAACCCATCTGACTCCAAACACCAAGTTCCTAACCACTTTGCTAAGCTGCATCTTACTAAATGGTCAGGATATATACTTTTTCCCAAATCTCAGAAGACCTTATTTCTCTGCCTTTCCCATTGTAACATTCTAGAGACAACTGCTGCGATTTCAGTTATTTGCCCTCCACCCCCAACCACTGATACTAAAGCTCTAGAGTTGCCATACTTAAGAAATAAGTATGCCCAGTTAACTTTGAATTTTAGGTTAACCACAAACAATACCAAAAATTATTCACTGTTTATCTGAAATTCAAATTTAACTGTGCATCCTGGCAACCTTATCAAGCTCAGACTCGACTGGGGGTTACAGGCCTAAATGTCCTGTTTCCAAGTAGGAAATAAAGCCCAATGGAGGCACTGGATGTTGACCTGGTGCAGCCTCCTTAAGTGAGGTGGCCAGTGCTCATCTCCGAAAAAGCTACTAACTTGGATACGAATGGCAGAGGTCGCGACTCAGTCCCCAAGGGCACTCCCTACAATACGGTCATCAGAAAGCCAACAGGTCACAGGGCCTTGGGAGCAGAGGAATAAAAGTCGGGAACACAGGCCCCAGGTGGAGGAGAAGGGAAAGAATAGAAAACGGGCCTAAGGGCCCTCCTGAGGTGTAGAAACCACTGTAGGTAAATCACACTCCAAGAACACGCCACAGAGCGGGCTAGAGAACCGCCGGCCAGGTCGAGGCTCCCTCCGGTCCATCTTCCTCAGGGTTCGTACCGGGGGCCCAATTCGGCCCACCTTCTCTCTTCCCCGGTGACAGCGCCGCCCCTGACATCCAGCTCCCGTGCTCCCCCTTTCCACCTCTACTACCTTTGACCCGCGCGCTCTTGGTCTCGAATTTGGTTAGCATCCTTCAGGCCTGTGGCTCCGAGCTCCTAATACGAGCCCCGGCACTCCCCGCAGCCCTTCGGTTGCCTGCCTCCACGTCAGCGGCCCTCTGGAGCGGCTCCCGGAAGTGCCTCCAAACACGAACTTCCGGTCTCTGGAGCTCCGGGCCACAGAGACGGCGCCGATGTGGGCCTAGAGAGGCCACAGCCGGACCGGAGGGGAACAAAGGCTTCCGCTCCGCAGAGAGGCAAGATGGCCACGGCTGGGGGTGGCCCTGTGGCCGACCGGGGATGTCGGGGTCTTTGCCTTTTGTCTTTCTGCGTCCTCCTGGCAGGTGAGGCCTCCCCCGCCCGTGAGTTCCAGTCTGTAAGGAGAACCCTCCGGATCGGCCCAGCCGCGAGCGCCACCATCTCTCTCCTGGTTCCCGCTGCCCCTCTGTCCCCCAACCCTGTAAATCCTCTTTCTCTTTCGTTCCCACGACAGAAGTTCCCCCTTTACCTGAACCCGAAGGTCCCTTCTCTCCCGCGGGACGTCGGGTCGCCCCATTTCCTCCTCCAGGCCTCCTCCTGGACTTCCAGCCCAACTCTCTCCCAGTTTATCCGGATCCCTCCTTTCCCCCAGGGCCCCAGCCACCCACCCACAATTCAAAAAGACAGATGTCAGAGTTCAGCTTCCTTCCCAACGCGTTTAGACATTTCAGGATGAAAACAGCCTTGTTCTGTGGGTGCAGTGCAGCGCTTATTAGTAGATTCATTTATTTCTCATGTTGATTCCGCCATGAACCCGCGTCTCCGCACTGTACCTCAATTTGTCTCATCAGTAAAGTGAGACAAAGGTAGGATATGGGGTACTCTTAAATGTTTAGACCATGAAATAATGATTCAAGGAACTTTAGGTATTTATAATGTATGTAAGTGGTTGCTTACACGCATTTATTTTCTAATATATGGCTTTCTAGTTTGTCAAGCCTTAAAATTCAATCATGCCTGTATATAACCGTGACCATACCTTCCCCAAGCTTACACTGTTTTTAAAGATCCCCAAAGAAGAAACTATAGCTGCCCCACACTGAGTACACACAAATGATATACTGATGTTAGATGAACTGACAGGTGTGTGGCATAAGTCTTCTCCCAATTCTGTCTAGATTCCTGGAAATATGTCTCAGAAAGATGTTTTAAATTGTAATCTATAATCTTAGATTGGAACTCTTATTAACTAATTTGTAATATACATACAGGATAGAAAAGTGGAAGTGTGGTCACCCATGCAACCAGAAGCTGGTACATCTGAGATTAAATGCCTTTCCTGTGACAAAAGAAGTTTTTTCTTTTAGCTTTACTGTCAGTTGCTCTATGTAATATTTGTAATAATAATCTGAGGCACATAGCTGGATGCATTTATGTGTTCCAGTAATGTACCCAAGAAGTGAGAAGAATGGACATTAGTCCCATTTTAGAAAGTATGATATACCCAAGCCATACAGTGAGCTAATGATAAGATGGAGGCTAGTACTATCATCTCTCACTTTTTCCTAACACTTTTTTATCTTTCAATCAGGTTTGTGCTGGGGAAACTCAGTGGAGAGGAAGATCTACATCCCCTTAAATAAAACAGCTCCCTGTGTCCGTCTGCTCAATGCCACTCATCAGATTGGCTGCCATTGTGAGTTGAGGTTGGGATTTTTGTTTGTGGCCATTGATATTTCAGTCTTTGCCCTAGATATAAAAATCTAAGTACTGCTTGGGAGTCTCAGCATACAGATTAGGCTATGTGGATGGGAGCTGGTAGAGAACCATTTGTCAAACCAGGCAAGATAATTATTAAGAGCTAACATTTAATGCTACATACTAAGCTTCTTACGTGTGCATCTCATTTAATCCTCACAGCAACCCCACAAAGTAGGTCCTGTTATCTCATTTTACAAATTATGAAACTAAGTGAGACTTAAAGAAGTTCAGTAACTTTTCAGGATCATCCTGCTATTAAAGATGAAGCCAGGGTTTGAGCCCTGGTGGTCCAGATTCCAAGCCAGGACTTCACCACCCAATGGGTCAAGTAGAAAACTATACTGTTTTCTTAGGAGAAAGAAGTCTCATATTCTATGGAATCCAGTCATCACCTGAACTCTGAATGATCTTTTTGGAACCAAAATGGGCTTCTTGAAGGCAGTGAACTATTTGAAGTTTCAGCAGGCATCGATAAAGCCAAATAGTTGCAAAAGAAATTAGTAAAGCATTTGGATTTGTCTTTATGCTTTGTAAATGTGTTCCAAAACAGGGTACCATGACAACATGGCTATAAAACTATGACGGGAAAAAAGGTGTGATCTGAAAGCTGAATCCCAGTTCCTCTTCTGCTTAACCCGCTGTCTTCAGATTTTTTTCTGTGGATAGTAGCTCTGTCTGAATGTAGTTTTGCAAATAAGCAGGAAACAGAATCAGATCTTAGCTCCTTCATCAAATTAGTCACTTCTGAATTTCAGTTTACTCATATAAAAACAGAATATACCTGCACAAAGCCGAAAGTCAGACTACCTTTAATAAATGTTTATTGATGATGCTGAGTAAATAGTATGGTCTCAGCAGTACTGTGTGATTTTTCTGAAACCTTCCAATTTCGTAGGAGAAATTTGGGACACTGAGAAGTAAAGGACTTGCTCCAGGTGGTAGTTACTGCTTTTCTACCCATCCTTCCCTCTTAATGTTCATTGTCCCAGGTGTTTGCTACAGGAAGTACTGGGAGTAGGTTCATTGGTTCTAAACAGTTCCAAATAAAATTTTTGCTGGACTTAGTTCTTAAACTGGGTTTGTGGACAGACGGGAGCCAGGTTCATTGTGGGCTGATCTCACTAGAACCCCACATTAGTGCAAAGGCTAGGACCCCATTCTCCTGGAGCTGGCCTCTGAGATATGCCCTTTGGGAATGAGTCATTCTGCTGCGTGTTCTTAGAGCAGCCTTGTGGGAAGCAAAGCAGTAGCCTCTAGAGATAAAGCCAAGTGCCAGTACAGAGAAACAAGTGGGGAGGGGCTGGACTCTGGCCACTTCCTCATTAAGATCTTATTTCCTTTTCAACCTACTCATTTCTAAGTCTTACTTCATCATATATGTCTGTCCTGAACAGGCTGCGCTCTCTTTAACCAGAGTTGCTATCATGATAAAAACGAAGGAGAAAGACCCAGGGTTGATTTTTCTGATTATAATGCCCTGTTTCTGTTGGACTCTTTTACAGTGTTCGAAGGTCTTATGTATATAGGTTTCTTTTCATTCCTTTCTTTCCTTTCTTAATTTGTCTCCACAGTATGAAATAGATAGGGGTGGAATAGCTTCTCATTGAAGGCTTATATAAAGGAAGCAAATTACTTAAGACTACACAGTCACTCATTGGAACCTAGATTAGAATCCAGATTTTTTCAGTGTCATAGCTTGCCTTCTTCCTGTCCTCCTTGGACCTGAAGTTTTATATATATACATATATATATATATATTGTTTTGTTTTTTTTAAGATTTTTATTGGGGAATTGCGGGGATGGGAACAGTGCTGGGGAATTGGGGGAAGGGGAACAGACAAGTTGCTGTCCTATTGTTCTTCAGTCTAGTTGTGGAGGACGTTGCTTCACTGACCCAAGTTGGCACCATCATTGCGCTCTTCCCGGGCGAGGCAGATCAGTCGCCGGCTTCTGGACGGCCGCTCACTACGGCTGCTGGTCGCTCACGCTCTGCTGGCTACACATGGTAGCCCATGCAACCCACTGCCACAGGGGCTGCAGCCTACGCCATCCGGCGACTCATGGCAGCCCAGCTCCAGGTTGAGTTGTTGTTCAGCATCTTAGCTGTAGAGGGCAGTATCACTGGCCCTCATATGTGGGATCCGAACCGGGGCCCTCTGGCATCCCAAGCCAGCTCTTAACCACCATGCCACTCGGCCAGCCCTGAAGTTATATATTTTTTATTTGCCAAACTAGCTTTACCTTTGCCCATGTTTTAAATACTATGACAAGGACTGCTGTCTTTTATCTTACTTAGAACTGCCATTGGTAGGTAGATTTTGTTTTTTTTTTAATGAGACTTTATTTGACCCAAACTCATGACACATGCAAGGGAGCAAGATCTCAAATGCTCCAGGTAGATCTTTACTAAAGTTATACCAGATTCTGATATTCCTCTATATTTTATTATTGTCACTATCAACATGAACTTAAGTATTTGCTATATATGAGACATAGTTGAATGTTGCAGACCTGCTTTCATGTCTAGATTATACCAGATCCCATGGGAGAAAAATACTACCTGGCTGGCAGTCTAAAAGTGCTTATGTTTTTTGTCTCATGCAAGTTACAGATATTTCAGTGCCTTGGTCTAGAGAGCCATAATGTGCATGCCTGGCTGTGTATAATAAAGAACCACAAATAACGTGTCTTGCAAATACACATGCGTGGGCCTTACCTTTAGAGATTTTAATTTAGTAGATCTAAGTTAAGGCCCAAGTATCTGTATTTTTAAAAATTCCAAAGTGATTCTGATACACAGAGTTGAGAACAACTGCTCTAAAACAATTTATGAATAAAACATCCAGTTTTGAGTGGGGAGAAGACTTGTGGGGAGACCCTAGGATGTCTCTATATAGATCACTAGGGATTTGAGGGGTATTGCTACATAGAACTCAGGGTCATCCATCCTCCACTGTAGTGCTTCCCAATCTTTGTCATGTGATGAGATACATAGAAAATTTTATTTGTGTGGCATTCTGGCACATACAGAAATGGATGATATTTGTAGGACCTCTTGGGGTAAAGGGTGCGTCTGCTCCAGCCTAGGGTCCCCAGAAATGAAGGCAATCAATATCAGCACATCTCTAATCCATTCAGGGCCCATCAGTTGGGAAGCTCTGTTCTAGAGACTTCAGAGTTCTTGATGAACTTTACCTAAAACTGGCCAAAAGCAAGTAAAGTTATTCCCAGATAGGGCAAAGGAATGGAGATCCAGGGAGGCTACTGAGGCCAACGGAGTCTGCACGTATGTTTTCACAAAGGATTCAGTGCTAGAACCAACGAGCTAGAGATTTAGAGCCTGCCATTTCCTGGAGAAAAGACAGGTTTGCACACTGGTATCTGCTGTCGTGGAGTCTTGCATGGACGGCGTATGAGGTTGAAGGAAGAGGGCAGGAAAATGAAGATCTCAGAGCTTTTCTCACCTTCAGTGAACGAGACCTCATGAGTAGACTTCCTGGCTCCTTTGTCTTCTATTCCCTCCTGGTAGCCCTCAAGCTTAGCGGAACCCTTTCAGCTCTTTCGTTCAAGTCTAGATGCAGCTACATTAACCCAAATGTCTTGTGACATGTTTGGGAGATAGATGATCTGCAGAATCAGTGAGGCAAATTCTAGAGCTTTAATTTGACCCATTCTGTCCTGGCAGCATCCATTAGCGGGGACACAGGGGTTATTCATGTAGTGGAGAAAGAAGAGGACCTGCAGTGGGTGTTGACTGATGGTCCCAACCCCCCTTACGTGGTTCTGCTGGAGGGCACACTCTTTACCAGGTAAGAACGGCATGTACCTGCTGGAAACGCGTGCAGAGGGGAAAATTCAGTGAACAGTCCTCACACTTGTGAGTGAAAGCTTCCCTTGGCTGCTCTGGTCTGATCAGGGCAGGGAGTAGGGTGATCTTCTGAAGTAAAGATGCACCATCAAAAGGAATCGTCTCCGTGACCTTACAAGTAGAGCTCGAGTGAGTAAAGGCCCCAGGAAGGAAGGAGGGGTGCCCAGGGTTACTCAGGCACAGGGTAGATGAGATTAAGCCCTGAGTTCACGCTGGGTCAGTCCTCAGAAATTAGAGACTGAAAAGGCAAAAATGAGTCAATAGTTTGATTCCCCTAACTCCCCATTTGTTTCCACCCTTGGGGGCAGGATTTTGGGCTGCCTGATAACCTTCCTGTCTTCCTTCATGGTATTCCCTCCCTATTCTAGGGAGGTGATGGAGAAGCTGAAGGGGAGCACCAGTCGAATTGCCGGTCTTGCAGTGTCCTTGGCCAAGCCCAGTCCTGCCTCGGGCTTCTCTCCTAGTGTGCAGTGTCCCAATGATGGGTTCGGTAAGAGCCCCAAAGGATTGAGGGAGCTTGCTGTCACCCAGAGCTCATTGTTGCATCAGTCTCATGTCTTCATGTATTTGTGTAGGATGGGGTGGTGGTATCTGTCTGTCTGTGTGTAGTGTGAGCAACTGACTCCCTAACAGAAGATAGTGTTTCTTTGTCTCTGCCACTCATCCCTTCCCTCTCCTGCTTCCCCTTCTTCCACTAACCTTCCATCCTCCCTTTTTGTCACATGCTCAGATCCCTAACTGGCCAGCGTGGGGCTCCCTGAAACCAGTATCCATTTTACTATAGGTGGCGACATGTTGATACTTGCTTCTTTGCATCGCTTAGTCCCAACACTATAATATCCTAGCCTTCTTCCCGCACGTGGTCCTTAAGTGCTTCGTGTCCTAACATCCTGTTTATTGCCCGCCTCCCTTTCAGGTGTTTACTCCAACTCCTATGGGCCAGAGTTTGCGCACTGCAGAAAAATCCAGTGGAACTACCTGGGCAATGGCTTGGCTTACGAAGACTTTAGTTTCCCCATCTTTCTTCTTGAAGATGAAAACGAAACCAATGTCATCAAACAGGTAATTACTCTGCCAGCTCCTACCAATTCCAGTGAGAAAGAGAATTATTTTTTAGGCTCTCCTCTTGTTTGGGAGGGAGTCTCATCCTCTTAGTGCACCCTCTGAAAGAGAGTTGCTTCAGGTTGAGCCAAGAAGTTTATTTTTCTCACATTTCCCCTCTCCCATTTCTCTCCTGCCTTGACAGCATTAAAGGCTTTTAGGCTAGAAGAAAATGTAAAGGGTGTTTAATACGAAACAAGGTATAGAGCCCAGGTTAAGAGCCCCTGGTATGGTAAAAAGAGCATTGGACTAGGAATTGAGAGATTTAGTTCAGTAATTTCTGAAGTTCTTTTTAGCTCTAATATTCTCTAATTTTAGTCTAGCTTCTTCATTTGGACACATAGAGCAGTAAAGAGATTTGTCCAAAGTTATATAGTGAGTTAATGTCCAAGCTGTCTTGAATTTGATTTTTGATCTCCAGTTCAGTGCTGTTTAATCAAATCACATTGGGAACTGTGGCTGAAACTCCAAATTGGGCCAGGTTATTTGGTACAGGGTAATTTCATTTGCCCCAACTAAGTCATTGAGTCTGTGCCCCTTCGCACCTCTTGATGGATTTTTCCTTTGACCTTATAGATCCTGTGGTTGTACCAGGACAACTACAGCTCAGGGACAGATGTGGGAGTAGCTTCAGGATAGAGCTGGACCCTCTTCTTGCTGGGAAGTGTGGGAGGGACTCCACAGCTACCTGCCTCACTGGGGTCCGTCTCCCCTTCCAGTGCTATCGAGATCACAACCTGAGTCAGAATGGCTCAGCACCAGCCTTCCCACTGTGCGCCATGCAGCTCTTCTCACACATGCACGCTGTCATCAGCACTGTCACCTGCATGCGACGCAGCTCCATCCAGAGCACCTTCAGCATCAACCCAGGTAGGACAGATCCGCGGCATGCTGGGTGTGCTGAGTGGGGATAAGAGGACCAGGCCAGGGAATGTTGGGAGACCACTGTGGGGAAGGAATGGCCACAGTCAGGAAGCACTGGGTGGGAGAAGTGGAAACACTTCTGAAGTGGATGGTGGCAAAGGATCCCATCTAGAGCAGTGGAGATAGGGAACGTGACTCACAGAGTCCATGGGGCCTTGGTCAGAGAGGTCTTCCATGCCTTCTTTTTAGCTGCCTTCTCCCTTACACCCGTTGACATCTCACTGTTGGTGTCCTCAGAAATCGTCTGTGATCCCCTGTCTGACTACAACGTATGGAGCATGCTTAAGCCTATAAATGTATCTGGGACATTAGAGCCTGATGACAGGGTTGTGGTGGCTGCCACCCAGGTGAGTGTTGGCCCCTGATTAGGGTGGGCAGAGCTGGCACAGAAAGGGCAGGAAGGCCTCTGTTGAGCATATCAGGTTTCAGAGTTGCTACAGTGTGGAAACCTCAAGTGGAGATGGATCTGGGCCATGGGACTCTGGGTTTTAGCCCTCACTCCAGGACATGAATATTCTCTTGGCTGGAACGGGAGACGGGGCCTGGGGCCTGGTCCTAATTTCCATTTTCAAAGTGTACCTCCCTGCCTTTTCTGCTGGACCCAGCTGGATAGCCGTTCCTTTTTCTGGAATGTGGCCCCAGGGGCTGAGAGTGCTGTTGCCTCCTTCGTCACTCAGCTGGCGGCAGCTGAAGCTTTGCACAAGGCACCTGATGTGACCACCCTGCCCCGCAACGTCATGTTTGTCTTCTTCCAAGGGGTAAGGGCTCTGGCTGGAGTGGAATGGCCGGGAATTAAGGGTGGGGAGGGGTGGGTAAAGGTGGGAGTAGCCATTGTTTGGGGAAGATCTCAGCACTTGACCTAAGTTGTTATTCAGCAGAGAGCTTCTGGATGTGTCTACATGAGTTTCCCTTTCAGATTCTCCCATTTTAGGACCTGGAAGTGGTATACTACCCATTCCTCCCTCCCCCACTGCTGCCATCTACTTGAGTCATCCTTTTACTTTTATTCTCTGGACCCCTTGTACTGTCACCTCCACCCCAAAGCCCTGAGGCTCCTGACTCTCCCTCTGTCCCCACAGCCTAGCCCTAGAGTAAGGGAACAGCAGCTATGGCTGAGGAGGCGGAGGTATGGGAGGGGCAAGAAGCAGGCACAGAGCAGCTGATGTACACTTCAGGCTTTCCTGAGGCAACTCTACCCATTTCTAGGCTCAAGGTGTCTTGTGAGGGGCTGGCCGAGTGGCTCAGTTGGTTAAGAGCTCACTCAAGAGTGCGAGCTCTGAGCAATGGTCACCGGTTTGATTCCCAGCCCGAGCTGAGCTGCCAACAGGTGGCAGGATAGCTCAGCTAAAAAAAAAAAAAGGAGAAGAAGTCTTGTGATACATACATGTGAGGGGTAGTCACAGCTGGGAGGTGGGCTGGAGAGGAGGGCCCGGTCACGTGACTGTGTAAGCTGGGCAGCAGTTGAGATGTCATGAGACAGTAGCCTTCATACCGAGAGCTTTGATGGTCTGACCTCAAGGAACTGAGGCTGCCCTAACCCTTTGGAATCTCTGTTCCCTTTCCTGCCGTTTCTACCCCTCAGGAAACTTTTGACTACATTGGCAGCTCGAGAATGGTCTATGATATGGAGAAGGGCAAGTTTCCTGTGCAGTTAGAAAACATTGACTCATTTGTGGAGCTGAGACAGGTGTGTAGCATGTGTCCCCACACCCTTCCTTCCGACTTAAAGCTTCCTCCTCTGTTGTCCTCACTGCAGGTACCATCACTTCTCTTCTGATCCCACCCTTTTCTCCCAGGCATGGGCTGGAAGACATTATAAATGTTGCTTCTTCATTCTTCCCCCAGGTAGCCTTAAGAAATTCACTAGAGCTTTGGATGCACACAGATCCCATGTCTCAGAAAAATGAGTCTGTACGGAACCAGGTAATCTGAGCATCTCTCCCCCTCACTTCCATTTTCAACAGCTCTGAATACCGGCACCCCCTCACCCTGGCCCTATCCCCACCACCCCTCACAGGTCCTGTGAGACAGGACCTTAGGTGGGTTGTTGGCCAAAGGGTGAACACCACAGCTGTTACAGCTCCCCAGGAAGAACCGTGAGCGCAGCTCAGGTCACTGGTTCTCTGGATGGGTAGTTCTCTGATCATTTGGTGACCTTGTCACAGCCCATCGAGGACAGGGCGGTTGCTGGCTCCCTTCTCTCCCTGCTGCCCCATGGGTCCTGTTGTCCAGGCTGCACTGCCCCATTCCTGGCATGTCAGACTCCCAACCACAACTGTCCTCCACTTTCCTCACTACCTCTTCAAGCCTCTCCCTCCCTTCTCGGTCCAGCGTTAGGTTTCTTTTTTCCATAAGGTCTCTTTCTGCCACTCCAGCTTCAGTATCATCCCTGCTCTGGGCTCCTTCAGCATTTACCGACTGGATTACCTGTTTTGTATTATTATTTGCCCCTCTAATTCTCCATATCAAATAATAAGTGAAGCATCTACTGAGGATAAGACAGAATCCTGAGGACAATAGACTTTACCTATAAATATGAAAAGCACAGGCCCCTTACTTCTTTGTGCCATAATTTTAAAAGGAAGGTGGGAGCTGCAGGAAATTCAGAGGGCATTGAGCCCAAAACCCTTGAGGAATTTAGAGCTAGGAGGGCTTAGAGCAACTCCTCAAGAGAGCATTTCAGGCCTAAAAGAGACCTGCTTGCCATTCCCCAGCCTCCCATGAGTTAATCCCCCCCCCCCCCCCCCCCAGGTGGAGCATCTCCTGACCACACTGGAGAAGAGTGGTGCTGGCGTCCCTACTGTCATCCTTCGGAGGCCGAACCAGTCCCAGCCGCTCCCACCATCTTCTCTGCAGCGATTTCTTCGAGCTCGAAACATCTCTGGTGTTGTTCTCGCTGACCACGCTTCTGTCTTCCATAATCGGTAAGAATTACCTAGCCTGCATCCTCTTCCTTCTCAGAGAGTCCGCTCTGCAGTTGGGGGTCCATAGAGAGAAATGCCCTCTGTGTCAAGAAAGATCACTATTCTCTCTACCCACACCACCCGCTCTAAAACCTCAGGTCAAACTGTGTTCTTTGCTCAGTGGCTTGTTCACATCTAACTCGTCCCCTCATTTGACTTAATGTTCATCTTAGAAAACAGTCCTCACTTTAGTCCTTTCCTGCATAGTCATCCTCCCTGTGGTTCCACCTCTCCCAGGCTCTCCAGGGGCCTGAATTCCCCAGGAGTGCTGGCTGGCAGAGGGCATCATCTCAAACAAGAGCGCTGGAAGGATGATGGGCTTCTTAGGGAGTAGGGCAGTGAGCTGTCCCTGTCTGAGGCCCATCCCGAGGGTGCCGCAGACAATAAATTTTCTGATATGTTACATGTTCTTGCCATGTGATGAGTGCATGTGGTTCAGTGTGAGGGTGTAGTGTCCCCTGCAGTTGAGGGAGCACCAGAAAAAAGGAATAAGGCCTGTTAGTTGCCCCTCTCCTGGTCCTAGGCACCCCTAAACTGCCCCTAACTTGAGCCCTGGGATAATAGGGGACTTCTTTTCTTACTCAGGCTGGACTCCTAAGCCCCCAGCCTCCCTTCTACTCTTCCAACAGGCCAAAGTTGTTTCTGAGTGAAAATGCTTAAGCTCTGGTTCTCCAACTTCAGCCAAGTAACACTTCTCATTTATTTTGGACAGCAACAGTTCTGGTGCATAGGGTCAACTCTTCTCCCTGTATGCTGCCCGCACCACTTTGGGGTGAGGGGTGATTCATTATTTGAACACATTTTGACTTCTATACCAACTTGATTCTGTATGGGACAGGCATCTATTGATGGTCAAGTCTGGGAGCTTTCTCCTCGTATCCCCTCTTCTAAGATCTGTCTCCTCGGGGTTGCCCAAGGAGTGGCAGGGTGGCTTGACCCATTGTAGTAGTATTCATTCGTGAACAGATGAGCTCATCCCCCTCTACTCCCAGCCACTCTCAATATAAATGTTCACTGGGATAGTCACACAATTGCTCTGATATGTGTGGCAGGCTTCTCTGAACGTCATTTTAGCCATCCTGTTACATCTGCAGCCCAAATGATACAGAAGTATCTCTAATGTTTAAAGAGCTCCCAGGAAGGCGATCCCTGCATCCTGATCTTATTACCTTTTTCCACCTTGTCTGTGAGGAAAGTCTTTGTATTTAGCCACTCCCACCCTCACTCCTACCTCCCCATTCTCCACACTTTCTTCAATATGAGATCCTAACTTCTCTTCCCTTCTTCCTGGATGGTGAAAACTGAGATATTGAGTTGCTGCACAAGGGGCACTTGAGGGACGAAAGGGACGGGGCCCTGGCTGAGTGTAGCCAAGGCTCATGCTGGCTTTCTTGGCAGCTATTACCAGAGCGTTTACGACACTGCTGAGAACATTAATGTGAGCTTTCCTGAATGGCAGAGCCCTGAGGAGGACCTGAACTTTGTGACGGACACTGCCAAGGTAGCACTGGTCTGGACCTGGTGGGAGCACGGGCAACACAGTGACGATGGTTAGAATGTTGCTGTTTGGGGGCAGAAGAGGTAGACCATTCAGCTTCCCTCCCCACCTGTCATAGGCCCTGGCAGATGTGGCCACGGTGCTGGGACGTACACTTTACCAGCTTGCAGGAGGAAGCAACTTCAGTGACTCCATTCAGGCTGATCCCCAAACTGTAAGAGCAAATGAGCCCTGACTCCTTTCTGTCCATTTACACAGCAAGCCGCTCCGTCTTTTATGTCCCTTGCCTGGTCTCCCATACCTTGGAATTGAGCATGCCTGTATATGCTTGTGAGGACGGACCCCTAATGCCCCAGAGCGCTCCCGGCCTGGCCTCGTCTGTATCCTTGTGAACCAACCACTGCCCCCCTAACCTCAGAGTCTGGCCAGTCAGGTTTCTACCTAGTGACTAGATCTCCACTAATTACCCTGTCCCTGGGCTCCAAATCACAAGGTTCTCTCCTTATCCCAATCCTAGGTTACCCGCCTGCTCTATGGCTTTCTGGTTAGAGCCAACAACTCATGGTTCCAGTCAATCCTCAGGCATGACCTGAGGTCCTACTTGGGTAAGCACCTGATGCGGGAATGGGACCCTTAGCCAAGGAAAAGAATAGAGAAAAAGTCATCATTTGGGTTTAATCTTTTTTTTTCTTTTCTTTTTTCTCTCTCTTCTTTTTTCCCCGTTTCCCTTTCTTTCTTCTGATACTTATTGGATCCTTTTCTCTTAACCTCCTGTTCTGTGGCTCTGGCCAATCCTGGGCTCTTCCTGCCTCTGCCCATCTGCACTTCACCTTCCACCCACCCAATCCTCCCTTTCCTGTGGTTTCCAATCAGGTGACGGGCCTCTTCAGCATTACATCGCTGTCTCAAGCCCCACGAACACGACTTACGTTGTACAGTATGCCTTGGCAAATTTGACTGGCCAGGTGATCAACCTTACCCGAGAGCAGTGCCAGGATCCAAGTAAAGTTCCCAATGAAAACAAGGATGTGAGTGGTAGTGGGTGTTGGAAGTGCCCCAGGGGTTTCTTTCTCATGGGAAAATTGGAGGATCTTCTAGCCCAATTGGACCCAAGGGCTTGGGATGGAGAGGTGGAGGGATATAGCCCTTTGAACTTGAGTGCTGAAGAGGAGTAGCCTGGGTGAAAAAGGACCATGTAAAGGATAAAGGGAGTGAGTGAGAAAGGGTCACCTCAGCTGTGCTCTGACCTGTCTTCCTGTGTAGATGTATGAGTACATGTGGGTCCAGGGCCCTCTCAACTCCAACGAGACAGAACGACTGCCCCAGTGTGTGCGTTCCACAGCACGACTGGCCCGGGCCTTGTCTCCTGCCTTCGAACTCGGGCAGTGGGGCTCTACTGAGTACTCTACATGGACTGAGAGCCGCTGGAAAGACATCAGCGCCCGGATATTTCTAATAGCCAGCAAAGAGCTTGAGGTGAGATGGGGGAGGGGGGGTGGCAAAGATCTGTGTGAGTCTTTCTGTTGCCCCTTGTCACATACTCGCTTCCATGCCCCATTAGGAAGCTTGTCTTGACTGGTAGTTTGAGTCCATGTTCATTCTGGAGATAAGCTCCCATAGAAAACCAAGGAGATACTCCTTACCATGTGGTCCGTGGGTAACCCTTCCACAGCTCCGCTCCCACTGGCGTTCCTGCCTGGCATAGCTGGGATGAGTCAATCATGTATTCCGAGTACCTGTCACAAGGAAGTCAGTAATATAATTGCCACAAGAGAAAGTCAATGGGTCCTGCCTTCAGGATGCTTAAACTCTAAGTAATAGAAGATAAAAGCAAGAACTGCTCTTTTCAAATGAGGCGACTAAGTCTCTAGATAGGGGAAATGCTGTCTGTGACTGTTCAGCCTTTGGTGCTTGGAGCCACCTCCAGAATTCCGATGTCCTGGCTCCCAGCCCCAAGCAGTTACCCAGGCTGCACTGAAATCATCTGAGAGCACCTCTCCTCATTCCCCCTGCAGTTCATCACCCTGACCGTGGGCTTCGGCGTCCTCATCTGCTCGCTCGTCATCACCTACTGCATCAATGCCAAGGCCGATGTCCTTTTCATTGCTCCCCGGGAGCCAGGTGCTGTGTCTTTCTAAGGAGAGCGCCAGCTTTTCCTGCCTGCGCTGTGGTTCGCTTCCTAAATCATCTGTCCCGCTGGGACAGAAACCACTAGTTTGTCACTGGAACCTCTCTGGGCCTGGCTCAGACTGGGATTAACATAAAGAAATGGAACTGCCCAAAAGAGACAGATAAACAAGTCCCCAGCTCCCCTTTCTGATCTCCCCTTCCCTGTTTCTTCTTCCTCCTCCCTCCTCCTCCCCACCCCCAAGCAGGTTCTGGGATAACAAGTAGAAGCTTCTTGCTCCTGTTTAACTCCTAGCTACCCACCCTGACTCACCCTTCTTTAGGGTCCCTCTTTTACTCTTGCCTGCCTGCCCTGTACCTACCTCTGCTCCCTACACCACTCCCTGTACCCAACCACCTTCCTGACCCGGAAGAAGGACATGAAGGGTTGACTGCCAGGAACAAACTACAAGGAAGCCCTGAGGAGGAGAACGGGGTGATCTGTGGGCTGAACTTCCGGTCTCCCTCCTGCCATTCTGTCTCCAGGCCCTGAGATGGCACATCAGGGGGAGTGTGCTGCTGGGTGGGTATCCCACCTCCAGCCCACAGTGCTCAGTTGTCATTTTAATTTAAGCTGTAATATCTATTTTTGTTTTCTTTTTCCTTTTTTCTGTGTGTAAATATATAAATAGCAAGTTTCATTAAAATAGACTATCCCATATGACCTGTTATACTTCCCCAACTCCCTTGTTCAGTGACCCTGGACTGGAAGTCATGAAATTGTTACCTCATGTGCTCTATTCTGGGTCTCCAGAGGCCCATGGAGGAAGGCTTTCTCAAAACCAGCTGGAGTCCTGCAAGAAGGGCTCCTTCGGGAGCCTTGGCGCCCTGGTTTCTGTCTCATAAGGACGTTAAGAGTTTCTTTCCACCTTTGTATTTGACAGACATTTCTTTATTCACTTTGAGACACTGACGATGGTACAGAGATGAAGGGAATACAGCCCTTGAATAGCTCCCAGTGGGGGTGAAGGGAGAGACAGATACACTCTCATCTAGGTGTGATCCAGTGTGATAAACAGAAAAATTAGAGAACATGCAGAGTGCCTTGGTAGAACACAGTGGGACTTGGGGCAGTGGGGTGGCCTTCGAAAGGCTGCACAGAGGAGGAGGCGTTGGAGGTGTGCTTTAGAGTCACCAGTGTGGACACACAGAGCCAAGAGAAGGCACCGATCATGTTGGGGAATGGTGAGTTATTTAGTACGCCTGAGCCCTAAGGATCGGCAGGCAAAGCTGGGGCCAGGTCACGAAGGCTCTTGGGTGGCATGCTAGGAGTGTGGGCTTTCTGTCAGTGGTGGGCATTGTGTACACCAAAACGCGATTGGTTTTGGAACTCTTCCAGAAAGAGAACCTTGGCTCTTTGGAGATACTAATTTCCTGGGTCTCATGGAGGCAGAATTCTGGAGTGGATCAGCACTGTTAAATGATAGGCAGTGGCTGAGTCAGCTCAGGGGGAAAGAACTGGCAGGAGTGGCGCTGAAGCCAGCCTTCTCCTCCCACCGTGGCCAAGAGGCTGTCTCCCACATGCCTGCGGACAGCAGAGATGGAAAAGAACTGGCCGTTTTCAAAGTCCCAAACCCTCCTCTTAGGTTCCTGAATGGGCCGGTTACCTTTTCAAATCCTGTCGAGGTGGTTTTTCTCCAGGTTTCTTGCCAAGTTTCTTCAGGGGCATGTTTGGGGTTCTGGGAAATGCAAATACACCCTGCTGCTTCCCCCAACTGCACCCCTCCCAGTTTGAGATGGAGAAGCTGTGTGTGCTGTGCTGGCGGGAGCTGAGCACAGCTGCCACCATCATCTGGGCTGACTCCACGCCTCCCTCGGCCAACAGGTCTCCCAGCGGACAGAGTCCTAAGCTCTCTCATCCGGCTGGTGGTTTGGTTTCAGGAAGCAGGGAAGTGGCTGGATAACAGTGAGGGGACTGAACAGGGAAGCAGAGGGGTGGGCAAAACCAAGGGGCTGGGGCGGGCAAGAAAGAAGGTTATAAGATGCAGGCCGTGCAATAATTTCTGCCTTAGAGTCCCCAAAACATGCTTGTTTTCTGCCTTCCATGCTAAACCCCCCCATGAATACCAAACCAAAAAACAGCTCAGTCCTTGGCTCTTGGGGAGGCCAGACTCCGTGGAAGGGGCACAGGCCCCCAAACGACCCACTGTAGCGCCTTTCTGAGACTGGTCTGGCCCCTCACCAGGCACCTCCTATGCCTTGGAGACTGCTGGGACTGGCGGGCAGCATCTCAGGGCTGCAGAGTTTAACTCTTGGCTCCCTCCTTGCTCTGGGCCTTGCCCCTGTGCCTTCTGAACTTCATTTTCCTGCCCCTCCCTTTCCCACAGGGCTTCCCTTCCTTCTACTCCTACCCATTGATAGTTCACATTTCACCTGTTCCACCCAGTCCATGCGGAAAGTTGAGCAACTGACTACCATGCTCCAGGACCCAGCCTCTACCTCTTGTGACACCTTGTCCCTCAACACCGATGGCTTTTCTGTCAGGAGTGTCTCCCTCCAGCTCCTCTGAGTGGAGTTTACTCTTGTTTCCCATATCTGGCACAACTCCCAAAGACCTAACCTGAGAGGACGTTTTTCATCCAGAGTCTGGTGTTCTGTACTGATATTACACAGTAGGACTTGGTTTCTTCCGCAGACTATATAATAAGACCTTAGAAATTATGTGCATGGTCTAACTCATTTGATAGATGGGGGAAACTAGCCCAGAGGAATAATGTGGCTTGCCCAAGGTCACACAGAATATTAGAGCTGAGATTAGAACATTTCTTATATCTGCACTGCAGTAGTAATAAACACTTGTTGAGCTTGGCTATGGGCAAGGCACTGTCCCGGCATCATGAAAGGGTATGAGATAGGCCGCCTTCCATCAGAGACTGAAGACTTAAAATCTAGATGGCAGGATGGGACATGACACAAGATAAACAACCAGGCAAGGCAGTATGCAGTCCATGCAAAACAAAATCAGTGCTGTAAACAGGCTCTACCTGAGTCTAGAGTATGGAGGGTTTGCTTTGGGTGGGGCCGGTAAGGAGGAACTTCCCATTGTGGGAAGAGCTCCAGACCAGATTTTCTGGTGTGCCCCGATGCTCTGTGTGACTTTGAAAAGGGTACTCCTCTTTGGGCCCCAGTGTTCTCATCTATGCAACATGGAATTGGGCTGATCTCTGAGGGGTCCCCGCTCCACCCCCTCACCCTGACTATGATGTCTGGTTCTGTGTGGCCTCCTTTTCTCCCTTTCATCCTAAACTCAGGGCAGGGCTGATTTGAAAGGTTGACAATTCATGAACCTTCTAAGGTAGAGGGGTCAATTCTAGAGGGGGAGGACTGAGAGGCACTAACCCAGAAGCAGTAGGAATTTAGGGAAATTGTGGCCTAGTGTGATTTTTAAAAAAAGAAAAAAAAGGCCTGTCATTCAGCATCCCATCTGCAAAAGAAAGCAGGTCTAGAAAGGTGAGCTTTGGAAGAAGCAGAGACCCTTGGAAGGTCGGGGTCTGAATGGGCCTCAAGTCAGATGGTTATTCCTAACTGAATCCTCACTCAGGAGGCAGAGGAGCTCCCGCTCATGTGGAGAAGGGCAGCTGTAGCCCCTGTCCCCAGCCAGGGATAGCTTTGAGCAGGAGTGCAGAGCACCTCAGGAGGCCTAAGATGGTGATGCAACTGTGAGTAAATGTTAGCAGTCTCTGGCCCAGGCTGGCTGGCTGCTCAGGGGTTGGGGGCTAGGACCCTAGAGTCCCCACTCTTCCCCGCCCCCATCAACTGAAGTTAGGAAAACTGGAGGGAAAGAAGGAAAACTAGATGAAAGAGGATATCTTGGGAAAAACAAACTGGTGATGGGATATAGGAAGTAGAGACACCTAGGAGGGCTGAAGGAAGAGAGGGAGACTGGGAATGCTTTGAGGGAACCGGGGAACCGAGCCCGAGGGGAGAAAGGCCAGATGGGTGTGGCTGGGAGAGGAGTGGGCCCGGAGCTGGTGGTGACAGATGGGTGGACACAAAGAAGAGCTTCAGGGAAGACAGATGGATGGGGGAGGGGAGGGGAGAGGCTTGAGGCGGGGAGGGTGCTGAGCGTGCAGTGACGGAGGCCGTGATGAGATTGGAGATGGGCTCTGAGGTGAGTGGAGAAGAAAGGGGCGGCTGCCTTAGGAGACAAAGGTGGCAAAGCCTAGGGGGCCACGGGCAAGAGGGCTCAGGGACCCGGATGCTGAAAAGTGGGGCTTCCATCCTGGCTGACAGCAGAGAGTGACAGATTGTATAGTTAGCCGGAGTGGAGACCTGCTGTCACCTTCTAGAGGCTCGGAGAGGTGGAGCAAGAGAAAGACAGACTGACAAGAGACCGTGTTGAAGCAGGCAAAAAGAGAATCTCGAAGATGGAAGAGCTAAGACTTGCAGCTGCTCCCCGGGAACATACGGGCTTCTGCCTGCCTTGCTCCTGTGACCCAGAACACAGCACCCTCGCCAAAGGCCACTCCCAGGAAGGGTCAGGCAGTGTGGCACAGCAAGGGTTAATGCCGTCTGCTCTCCCTGCCAGCCCACTTGCCTGGTTGGGTCCCCAGGGCTCCCCACATATGTCACCCCCTCTCCTGCCAAACCCACTGCTTCCCAGTTCCTAAGGCCCTCCCTCCACCCTCAATGACTAGGCCTAGGCCCCAGGGTCTTCCCCACACACCAACCTTTCTCCCCACCAATCTACCTCCAAAGGCTGTGTGGAAATGAAAAGAGATTGTACCCAAGTGAAAGAGAACACCTATAAAATGCAAACTGACAACCATAGAGCCATTTGCATTACCCCATCCCCAGGCCCTGCTTTCAGCAAAGACCCACACAAAACTCCAGAGTTCTCCTTCTCCCTTGGCCAGCCTGGGCTGCTGGCAACCTGAGCTGACCTCAGAGCCTCCCCAGTCTCCCTCAACCATTAAGGCCCATATACATGTGTGGGAAACTTCTTGCCACAATTTAGATCACCGTGCATAGATGTAAAGGTTGGGGTGAGCACTTCACAATTTACCTCACACTTTCCCATGCATTGTGTGATGAAAACCCTATGTGGAAGGCAACATTATCCCGACTTCATAGTTGACAAAAGCAGACTCAGTCAAGGTTAAGTGACTTGTCCAAGGTCACCAGGACTTGGACTCACGTCTCTGGGCCCCAAGGTCAGTACAATTAGTGGTTCTTTCCACCACTCTATGCTTTTAGCTCCTCTTTATCACATACTTATGTTCTCTTTAGCTACTCCTTGGAGGAGCAAAACCTGAATTCCTGAATGAAGACTTGCTGGGGACCCCAGGTGCATAGGAGGAGGAGGTGGTCCCAGAGCACTCTCGGACCCCCCTTTACCATCAAACCTCAGCTTGCACTGGGGACAGTATGGACTGGGTGCTTCAAGGCTGAAGGTTGCAGGGACAAAGGATCTAAGCTAAAGGGCCTGAAAGGAGGGAAGGCTGGGAACAGGGATCATGTTCCTCCCTTCTCCACGTACCCCCACCCCTCTTGCCATGGTTCCCTTCTGCTTCTAGGGTCTCTAGGTTCTGCTTCTGTTTTCCTCAATGTCTCACCCTTTGGGACCAGTAGCAGTCCCTTATCTCTATAGTTCTGTTTATCGTCTCTCCCCACCTGTCTTGGGGCTTTCCTCGGGACTCTCTCCCAGTATCAGTATCTATCCATCCCAGAACATGTTTCTCTACATCTGTATTTTGCCCAGGTCTGTGTCTCCTTGATGGTATCTTTTCAGATCTTTCTCATGTCTCTGTCCCCCTGCCATATCTTGCACCTCTGAATCTCCCACAAAACCTGGGCAACCTGGCAATTCTGCTCCCATCCTCTCTTTTTTTAATCTCTGTCTTCTCTATGTCTCCATCTCTCCATGACAAATCGTCCCTATGTCTGTTACCCAATGACTCTATTTTCTCATCTTTTTCTCTCTCTCTGGGTCTCAGTTTCTCCCCATGTCTCCCCTTTCATTTCCTCTATTTCCTCTCCATCTCATATTTGTTCATATCTCTCCTCTCCCTCATGGCACGTTTGCCTGTCTCTCGGTCTCCCAATTTCCTGGATGGGGTGGAGGGCAGGAGCGTGGGGGAGGTAGAATTGTTGTTGCTGGGGGCTCATTAGGTAGAGATTGGTTTTTAATCAGTACCATGGCAATGATGATGCAAGAACTGAGATGCCACCTGATCCCCAGCCCCCCCAACCCCCCTCCTCAAGCCTCCTTTCCCCTCCAGCTCAGCCCATCTGCTGGCGCCTGGGCACCTGTCTGGGCCTGCCCAGGTGGGATTTGGCACCTCCCAGACCTGGAGGTGGGGAGGGGTGGGGGAGCTTGGGGAGGAATTATAGGGCTCCCCTTAGGGAATGCCTCACTCTGGAGGAAGCCCAGGAAAGGTTGATCAGCAACAGGGAAATGGCAAATGCCTCTAACAGCCTGAAGATGGGGTGTGGTCCTACTAAGATCTGAGCCTGGTCACATACATTATCTCATTCAGGGCAACCTGAGAAGCAGCTAGAATTAACCCCCTTTTACAGAAAAGGACGGTTGAGGCTCAAGAGGTTACCTTACTTGTTGGAGGTCACACAGCCGACAGGGTTTTCTTCACTGTAGCACACGTTCTCTGGAGTCCTCCCAGCCATGGTTCCTTCTGGATACTTGCAAAGGTTCAATGAAGACAGTCAACAGCTGAGGAGGGGAGAGAACTTGAGATACTGACACCTAGCCCGCTGCCTCCCTGTGCTTCCACTGGCACCAGCTCCTGCCACCTTGACACACACGTAGGCTGGAGGCAGCGGAACTAGTGATACGAACTTCATCAATGTCCATTTGCATATAATTTTGTATCTAGTTTTCTTATTGCTCTTTAGATGCCCCAGCACATGTGAAGCCTGCACAGGCTGCCCTGCCCTCCCCCGCTGGTGTCTTTCCAACGCTGGTTCTTCCTCTCTCCTCTACTTCACTCGGTTTAGCCCTGACTTCTTTCCTCCTAAGAGCCCCTAATTCCCAGTGGGTCAGGTTGGGCTGGGTAGCCTAGAAAAGCTCCATGTGGGATCTGTGTCAGGAATCTGATACCACCCCCTGTGATGAGGTAGGTGGGAGAATGGAGGCTGGGATAAGAGTGTCCGGGGTGATCGAGTCTCAGGGTGATGAGGGCAGGGGCCTGAACAGTGGCCACAGGCAACCTGGCAAGGGGGCTGTCGGGTACCAGCTTTATGAAGGATGAGAGCTTGGTGAAGGCAAGGACTCGTGGGTCCTTTTCTGTTTTCGTGCTGTCCACTCGTGCTTTTCTAGACTTCCTGTTAGTACCTTGGAAAGCCTTCTGCCCAAGGAACAGGAGACAAGGGAAGGAGCTGTAAAAGTCACACTGGGACTCAGAGTGGGACCCTGGCACTTAAATCCGGCTTGCTGGGGGTCTCGGTCCCTGCCGCCTCTGGTGTGAGAGACTGAGGGGTTCATCTGTGATCCTGCCCTGGCTCTCGCCCCAGCCCCACCCCTTCCCCAGCTCTCCATTTCTTGCTTATGAAATATGCATGGAGAACAGATGTCCCTGCTCCCCCACTCCCTGTCCCCCCCTCCCCCCAGGGCCAGCCCCTGCCCCCAGCTCCCAAGAGGATTCCCAGGTCTCTCTGCCAATGGCTGCCTGACTTGCCTGTTTAATATTGATGAGGGGGGGAGCCTAAGCCAGCCAATGAAGAGTTGGGGGTGTGTGTGTGTGTATCTCCATATATATACATAGGACTGGGTCAGCTCAGGTGTGTATGTCTGTGAGTGTGTGCGCTGGCGCGTGTGTGAGTACTGGTAGCCCCAGTACCTGGCCAAGCCCACCCCCTCCACCTGGGCCCTGTATCCCCACCATGTGTACCCCTCTCATCTGCCCCGGAGCCTATACAGCCACACTGCGCTGCCCCCGAGAGCTCTAGAAAGCTGGTCACTAACTTTGCAGACGGATGAGCTCTGAGCAGCCAGAGAAGACTAGGGCTGTCAACGCTGCCCCTGTCCTGCCAGCTTGGATCCCCTCACAGGGTCCTCCTAGGTAAAGGGGGAAACGGGCTGGGAGGGGTGGGCGTGTCCCTCCCACTCTGGCTCAAGTCCCCTCCCAGAGTCTCCCTCTAGTTCTCTCTCTAGTGCGCTGTCTCTCCACCCTGCACCTCCCTTTCCCCCACTTCTCCCCTTTGACCCTGTATCTACCTATTTTCAATCGGGTTGGGATGGCAGAAGCGGGGGGCAGAAAGTCCCGTTCTGGATGCTTGGAATTGCTGCTCTCCCTGATCCTCGGAGCCTGGAACTTTGAGACCAGAAGTGGATTTTGGGGTGAGGACTTCATGGGTAAATGGGAGCTGCTGCCAGGACTGGAGCTGGGGAGGACAGTGGGGCCAGGTGGAGATGGGCCAGGGATCAGATTGGCAGCAGAAAGAAGGGAAGGGAGGGCATGGCAAAGTGATGAGGGGTACAGGAACATGGGGACCAGGCAGAGGGAGAATTGAGCTGTGATAGATGTGTTGAGAACCCCACAGCTGGACTCCTGAAGCATGGGGGTGGGGAGTTGGGGCACTGAATGTGTATCGGAAGGTACTGATTTTGGGGCCTCCCGCACTATTGCTATCCCCTCTTGTTCCTTTGGACCCCAGAATATGGAGTGTGTTCTAAATTTCAGTACTAACTACCTTCTGTTTTGTTATGGTTGTGTGTGTACATGCTAGTCAGATGTTGATGACCTTGCACTGCCGCCCCCTGCCTGCCCCCCACCCCCAGCATGGTAACTATTTGTCGACTACAATTGAGCCTGTCTTCTGTGCAGTGGGGTGGGGCAAGGCTCTGGGGTCCTGACCCCTGTGAGGGTGTCTGTCAGGCGGGAGAACGAGGGCTGGTGAGAAAGGGGAGATGGAGACTACGAGGGAGCCACAGTGCTTCTGTTTCTGGTTGTTAAGTCCAGCTGAGCACACAGTGAGTGACCCACTGTTCCTGCATCACACCCCTAAAGCAGAACCCTTTCCCCACCCTTCCCAGGCCATGTTCCTGTGCCTCACCTTGAACTCCTCTGGTCCCAGGGACAAGCAAACCTTAGCCAAGTTCCATAATGGTGGCCTCAAGAAGGTGTCCACATCCTCCTCTATAGGCCATGTCCGAACTGAGCTTGGGCTGTGGGAGAGTGCAAAGTGGAAAGCTGATTACGTTCCCTTTCTCCAGTCTTCCTTGCAGAGGAAGAGCTGAGGGTGTTGAGGGCAGAGCTAGAGGAAACAGCTGGTCCTGAGCAGGGCGATTGTGGCCAGAGGAGATATCTTGCCCTGATTCTAGTGGACAGGGTGGTAGGATCTGGTGTCTGCAGTGGTCGTGTTGGGGAGTGGGGGGTGGGCTGGGAGGGACTGAGCTGGGGCAGCTGTGCCGAGCTCCATATGTCCCAGTCCACTCTACAATGGGTAATCTGCGTGTTTATCCTGGCCTCCCCCCATCCCCACACACAGAGAAGCAGAAAGGGTGGAAAGGGGCCCTGGGAGGGAGGAAATCACAGGGTAAAGGCTCGTAGTTCTCTCCTCACAACTGGGAAAGGTTTAGAGTCGCAGTTAACCTCTTTTGGAGCTATGGCTTCAATCTATTTTTTTCCTTTTTTTTTT